TTTATTATAATTAATCATATATTAATTATAAATGTAAGATAAGAACTAATTAAATAAAATTCATATATATTCAAATATAATTTATCTAAAATAACGTTAGTAATAATTTCTGTTGTAGTTGCTCAAGACATCGTATTCGGCTTATAATATACTTAAGCAAACACAAGGTTCATAATGTTAGATGTAGTAAAAATATAACATAATAGTGTAGTAAAAATATCAACGCAATGTGAATCTATATCACAAATATGTAAATATGAATATCACATGTATACATTTATAAAATCTTATTATCATATAATACAGATAATTATCTCTCGTATTATTGATATCATAAACAGAAAAAAAATTAAAATATTTATATACTACAATTTCTATTACAACTCATTTAATGTGAGGATTTTATTTACATTGCACAAATAATTGTATTATTAGAGGTTGCATTTGTATTAAATTAAAAGGGATTAAACAGGGAGAGAAAATCTATTGCCTTTGGAATTATTCGAATAATAAATCAATATTTTTATTATTTCTAAGTAGAAGTAATATTTCCTAGAATATTAAATATTTCCTAGTAAAAAGTGGGAGTAACCAATGTCAGTACTTTATGCGGCGTACAGCTCGCTTATGCGACAGTTGTTGTCATTTTTTTCCTTCCATAGCAGTTCTAACATATAATTTATTTTGAACATATTAATACAGTGTACTACCATCAAATAAAGTCTGTGTTTAGCATTCGTGTTGCACATGAGAGACTGTGGTTACAAATTAAATATTAAAAACTATCGTAAGGAGGGACAAGTTAAACGAGGATCTTTACTAGAAATTCGCAAATCTATAGACATTCTATAATTGTTGTTCTAAAGAATTTGTCGCACGTTAGATTAATATTCGTGCAAATAATTTTATTATAACTTAGAGTTTTATTCGACAAATTTTTGTATTTGTTTTTATAAAGATATCTGAGAAAATTAATTGCTTAATTTTTTTAATCAGTATATATCTAAAATTTTATGATTAAAGAAGAATGTGAAAAATATAAATAGTGTATGTAAACTTTTGTTATCATTTAATTTTCATGATGTATATAATTATTATAAACTGAGAAATACTAAAATGCGAGTATTAGATTCGACTTTTAAATTTCTAACTATTTGTGGTTGTTGGCGACCGGATTCTTGGACATCGTCATGTAAACGTGTAATCTATCATATGCACACATTTTTCGTGCTTGTGTTAATAAACACGTTTACTTTATCACAATTACTGGATATTATTCTTACTGTGGATAATGCGGACGATTTCACTGATAATTTCTACATGTTACTTGCAATGATTGTATCTTGTTGTAAGATGCTTAGTATGTTGATAAATCGCAAAAATATTGCTTTGTTAATAAACATTCTCATGAAAACACCGTGTAGACCATTGGAACCGGAAGAAATGGAAATTCACAACAAATTTGATAAGGGCGTACAGTAAGTTTCCTGAAAATGTAAAAAGTTATAAAGAATGTTTCATTTAAGTTCATTATATCCAAAAAAAGTATTTTTGGGAAAAATATTTAGACGAAATTGTATAATTTAAAAGGGGTATGTCATATTAATTTTTCGATAACTCTATTTTGATACTGTATGCAAAATAAGATTCAGAAAATTATATTACGTAAAAAATGAGACAATTTGACAGATTAAAAAATGACATTGATTTTTATATAAAAAATCGATTAAAAAGAAATTGATATCATTATTTATTTTCCTTCAAATCATACAATACCTATCTAAAACTTTTTTTTAGAAAATACTTCGTTTTCAAGATCATAATCAACTGTTACCACTTTTAAAATAAGACATTCTATTTTTATTATTAAAATTAATTGCTTAATTATATCTAACACGTCATTTAATTAAAATAAAAGTTTGAGATTTAAATATTTCTGATTTAAATATTTTGATTCTGATAAGGCTGTCATATTTTTTTATGCCTTTATATAATGTAAAGTGCAATATTATAATTATTAAAATTATATATTAAGAAAAAATTATCTAATAGGAAAATTGATATTAAATAAGACATTGAATTACAAATGAAACGCAACAATGTCTACAGTTATTTTGCAGAGCAAACACGATACATTATGCAATTTTGGTTGAAATGACTTGCGTATGCATTACGTTAACATCGTTACTCACGGACTTTAGAAGACGGACATTGACATTCAGAGCCTGGTTACCGTATGATTATTCATCGTCAATCTTATTTTACATCACATATGCTCATCAATTGATAAGTTTAATAATCGGATCTGTCCTGCATGTTGCTTGCGATGGCCTGATTTGTGGATTATTGGTACACATTTGCTGCCAAATCAAAATATTAGAATCTCGTTTGAGAAGAATAGCATATGAGCCTGGTATTCTTTCTGAGTGCATTCTACAACATAATCATATTTTCGAGTTTGTATTTATATATAATATAATATACTTTTATATAATACAATTATTTATATATTATATATATATATATATATATATATGATATAATTAACACGATAGAAATATTAATATTAATATATTGTGTGTATTAATAAAGACATCAATGTAGCTATCATTTCGACTCGCAAATATGAAATAGTCAATTACACTTAATTACAGCTTTGCTATCACGGTCAATGAAAAATTCAGATTTACTATTGCTATTCAGTTTATGGTTAGCACATTGGTAGTGTGTTTCAATTTATATCAATTAACTAGGTCAACTACAACAAATGCAAAGTATGTTCAGCTGGTATTATACATGTGCAGTATGCTGACACAAATCTTTTTTTATTGCTGGTATGGAAATGAGGTAAAATTAAAGGTATGCGATGTTTGAAATAATAAATTATAATTTAAATAATGAATAAATTATCAATTTTTTTAATAATTAAATTAATTGTTTCATTTACATAATTGATTTAATTAATTTATATATATTTTAATATTATTCTGTAATTAATATAGAGCCAACAACTCGTCAGTAATATTTTTGATATGGAATGGTGTATATTAGATCAAAATGTAAAAAAAATTTTATTATTAATTATGAGACGTAGTACAGTGCCTATTGAATTTACCACCGCCTATATTATTTCGATGAATCTTGATTCTTTCGTGGGTGTTAGTATAAAACGCTTGTTATTATCGCAGAATTAAGTTTGAAAGGAATTAAATCTAGTAATAATATAATACGTATAAATTTATTTGAATAAAATAAAATGAATCTTTTTAAAAAACCTTTTTAGTTTGTTATATTTTTGTTATGTTAAATAATTTCTAATTAAATTTTCTAATATTTATTTATTATATGGAATATTTATTTTTTGCAGTTACTTAAAACATCGTATTCAGCTTACAATATTTTGCAACAAATATAACAGAGAGTGATGCAATATAAATAGTAATTCCAACAATTTAGCCTTACACTTTTATTTGCATTTAAATAATAATTATTGCATTAATAAATAATTTTAAGCGATAATGCAAACAGAACTAATTAAACAAAACATTATAATCAGTTGATTTTTGTATAAATGTAGTTTTGTAAGTTAGAAGAATAAAAAGGAATTACTTATTCTTATTATAACCGTGTTTCTGCGAGTATAAAGAATATAAGAGAGAGAGAGGGGGGTGGGGGGAGGAGGGGAGGGAGGAGGGGAGGAGGATATTATTATTATTATTACTTTAATATTATAAAATTGTTTTTGTATCATATGTTTAATTTACATTGACATTATAATTATAACAAAATTACAATAAAGAAAATAATTCAGAATTATTCTTAATTAAATTAATTGATATATTTATTAAACTAACTTAAAAAATTATATAATTTGCTATTTAAAAATAAATGTAAAAATATTCTTCATTCTATAATTTACTTATCTATTACTACTATTATAATATATTATATACTATATTTGTTAACAACTTTTTTTTACTTGTAAAATATATTTGTACGATGAATAATTCGATATTATGCTACTGTGACTAAAAGAAAAATATAAAAAAGAAAAAAAATTGAACAACACTACAAATATCTTAGAAATATCAATATACCTATAGAGAACCTGAATTTTAAAGAAAAGTTAAATGTTTAAAACATAAATGTTATAGAAGTATAATGTGCCAGAATTGATATCTTATAAAGATAGATTATAATTATCTGTTCAATATTTTATTATTTTACTCCATATTTCTTCTATTTCACCTCTTTGTTACATTTAAAGCAAAATTATGCTATATATTATGTATGTCAATTTTGTTACCATCTGTATGTGTATATGTTGTACGCTATGTCGTAAAAAATTATTTCACGAGGAATATATTATAAGAGATATATTATAAGACACTGGAAAATGAATAATGGAATAACTACGACATTATTCTACAGCTAAGAAATGAGCAAAGCTATAGACTATAGAGAGAGATATTTATCAATCATTCTAAGAACTTTGTTGCTTGTCATTATACCAGTTTTTATCATTTAAAATTATTTTTTCTTTATAATAATTTAATGTATTTTTTGCGCAAGACTTAGGTATGAAATATTTGTTTTTAATTGCTAAAATAATTAGAAAATTTATGATAAATATACAATACAAATAACATTTATAAGTAATAAAAAAATATTAATTAAGTTCATGAGATAAATAAAATGTCAAAATGAAAACTATAAGCAATTTTAAATTGACAAAATTTCAAGTTACACACTTTCTCTCTTCGGGTACATAATTATTACAATTAGTGATATTATAAGTTATATAAAGTTTGTAGTAATTAATTACGAGTGTTGTGTGCTTGACAGATGTGAGCGTCAGGTGATATCAAAGAAAATAATCTTCTAAAATGTACATCCTTAGATATACTTTTAATCTTTTAACGATATTTGGGTGTTGGCGACCCGATTCCTGGTCGTCGCTATGTGAACGCATTACATATCACGTATATACAAGTATAGTAATTCTAATAGTAAATACTTTTATGTTATCGGTATTGATGGATGTAATCTGGACCATAAATAACGGGGAAGATTTTCTCGATAATTTTTTTCCACCAATCGCGACCTTTATTTCTTCTTGTAAAGTATTCATTTTATTGATGAATCGTAAAAATATTATTATGTTAATCAATATATTGAGACAGAAACTACACAGACCGTCGAGCTCAACAGAAATGGAGATTTTGAATAATTTCGATAAAAACATACAGTAAGTATTAATAAACAATATTATAATATTGTGTTATTTAACTTAATATCATTAGAACTATCAAAATTTATTTTATATTATTTATAATATTTATTATTTTATGTAACAATCTTATTTATTATTCAAATTGTTTTAATATGCTTAATAAAATTTTTTATTATAAATAGAAAAATGGATCAAAATATATTAAAGAATTTTTTAAAATAAAGTGTTTTGTGAATGTGTGTGTGTGTGTGTGTGTGTGTGTAAGTTAATGAAAAAAGAGATATAAATATGAAGCAATAAAATCTTAAAATATTATTATATGTACATATTATATCATTTCGCGAGTTTCCTCCGTGTCCAGATTCATTCTTGAAAAGGAACGACCGAAGGAACAACTCAGTATCAGACTGCTCCTCGCCCTGATGAAGTGGACTTCAAGGTTCATGAAACGTTGGCATTCCAAGAATGGAATCTAGACACGGAGGAAACGCAAAACGTAAAATCTACATATAGTTGTATATTTGAAAAAAAAGTTTTATAATTTTTTTAGAACAAATACTTTACGCTTCATATATTTGGGAATAGTAACAATGATGTGGATCGCATTATCTTCTTTATATATAAACTTTAAAAACAGAAAATTAATGTATAAAGCGTGGCTGCCATTTGATTATTACTCGTCAACAGTACTTTTTTATCTAACATCTGCTCATCAAGTGATAAGCCTTACTATCGCAATGTTCGTAAATATTGGTTGCGATACTCTCATCTGTGGATTATTAGTTCATATTTGCTGTCAAATTGAGATTTTGACTTATCGCCTGAGAAATATTATATTTTGTTCAGATTTTCTTCGTGTTTGCTTATATCAACATTACCATATCTTCAGGTTAAATCTTGTGATTTTAAATGTTGATACATATACATACGTATACATTAGTTAAATTATTATATAATATAATATCTTAGCAAATTCACAAAGTTATAAATAATATACCTGTTAAAAATTATAATTTCTTATTCAACAATGTAACTTTAATATAACACATTAATTACATTACATTTATACTATTGAATAGGAAATTACAATTAACAGGTACATTAAATGTAATTTTGTCTTTGTTGGTATATTATTTTGTAAATATATTCTATTAAAATGTGTAAAATATATATTGTAATATATATTTAAATATGTTTTAAAATATGTGTACAAATTTGTTAAATTTTAGATTTGCTTTAATTGTAAATGAAAAATTCGGCATGACTATTGCTATTCAATTTATATTAAGTACAATGATGATATGCTTCAACCTTTATCAAATCAGTAAAACAACAGTAAAAACTAATTATATTCAGTTAATATTAGTTACATTTTGTCTGTTGACGCAAATCTTTCTCTATTGTTGGTACGGAAACGAAGTAAAAATAAAGGTAATTTACTACCTATGAATGCAATCTAATATGAAACATAAAGGCAAAATGTATATATCTAAGTTTTTGTTTAATAAAAAGAGATACAATAATTTGTAACGTGAACAAATAGTTTTAATTTTTAATAATATCTAAATTTATTATTTAAATTTCTAATTTATCTAAATTCAATTAATCTATTTTTTATTATATATGTATTATTAAACATATAAATAATTTAAGACATATTAGTTTATTAATATAAGCATCTTTTATTTTTTATACAAGTGCTATTTATAGATACATTATTTTGCATATTTCCGTAGAGTTATCAAATTATTGATGATATTTTTAAAATGGAATGGTTGATATTGGATGATAATATAAAGAAATCTCTAATGATGATGATGATGCGAGCACTTGTGCCTATTCAGATTAATTGCGTTTATGTTATTCCTATGAATCTCGAATCTTTTATGAGTGTTAGTATAGATATCATTAAAATTAATGTTGCCAACAAATTTTTTAATAGTATAATTAAATTTGTTTGAATTTAAGCGAAATATTGTATTGTAATATATAGATACATTATATTACTGAAATATTTAATAAAACTTAAACCAATTTTGAGTCACTTAAAGATTAAAGTGTTATGTGGTCTACTTATTAAACAATTTTGAAATAATTTAATGAATTTAATAAATTTAATATTTAATAAATTTAATTTAATAAATTTAACATTATGAATTTGATGTTACGATCTCATATATCTAATATTATTACTGGTAAAGTCAATAGAAATTTATTAATTGCTAAACATATTATAATAATTTAAGATTATAATTGTTCATATACTAATTCTAGATACTTAAGATGTCATATTCCACTTATAATTTACTTCAACAAGTAGAGAACTAATTGAATAAGTAATCGATAAAATTAATGTGCTACTCATACAAGTTTAAATGGAAGAGTTATAATATGGAGAAAAGAAAAAAGATATATTAATTTGTCTTCATAATTGACGTTTGTATTACATATTATAGAAAATAAATATAGATTATCTCAATGCATAATTTGTTCTACTCCTTATTTATTATTTACATTTCTTAATATCTGTTTTGTAATTTCTTAAATATCTTGCTTTTTATAATTTACATCATGAGTGCAATATAACAAAAACAATATATAACAGAAGTCAGAAAATATTGTGTCTGAATTAATACGAAAAACGAATTATATACATGATAAATATTATACTAAATATTATAAATATAAATATAATAAATAGAATAACAGTCAATAAAACTAATTTTTTAGATAAAAAAGAAATAAAAAGAAACGTTGTTTTTTTAAGTTTATTTTAAAAATATCATATATAGTCATCTTTAGAAATATTGCAATAAATAATATTTTTGTAAAATGTTATTGCAATGCTGAAGATTATTCGATATTTAATAATCACAAAGATTTCATCGAAAATTATGCAACACTGGCAATGGCTATCTTGTGCACAAAAATATTCAAAAACACAAAAATTTGTTAATAAATCGAAAGAAAGTATATTAATTAATATATTCATCGAGAAATTTATATAGATTTAAAGAGAGGGACGAAATAAGAGAGAT